GAGTACTCATCCATGCGTGGGCCGCAGAGTAGGGGTCTCCCCGCCTCCACCCTTCACAGGGCTCTGAGACCAGAGCCTTCTCCTCCACCTGCCTCTCCCGAGCCAGCTAGCTCCCGTCAGAGAAACATCTTGGCATTCACTCGCTAAATGCACCAGCTCACATACTGCAGTGGGAGAGACTCTGAATCACCTGGTCAGAAAACCTGGGTCCAGCAGACCCTCGGGGAACATGCGCTCAGATATCTGAGGCAGATAAAGTGGGTTGGCTGACCCCGGTCAGAGCTACACAGCGAGACACACCCGGTGAAGTAGATTCTCCCAGGTACCCCTGGTCACAGAGACCTTGAAAGTTACACCTGGTCAGATGCCCCTGCACTGTTTCAGACACTGAAATACACAGGAATTGGTCCAGTGACATCAGACAGGGACTCTGGTTAGAGGCACCGGGCAGATACACCCAGGTGGAATCCTGACCCTGACATAGCCCTAGGCAGGTAGGTACAGATTCACACGATTCACACCCCAAGATACATCTGGCCCCACCCCCAGTCAGATTCACATCCTGAATACCCACAGCTGGCTTAGACCCGCATAGATATGCATGGTCAGGTTGATCGGGTTGGCACACAACGTGGTCAGAGAGACCTGGTCCCCGGAGCCCCACACTGAATTTCCCGGTTGGATGTGCTGGATCTGACACCCGCTCAGATCCCTGGACAGATTCACTCATGAAAAAGGCAGGTAGAGCATGCAGACCCAGGTGGGCAGGTGCTTCCACTCTGCACCTCCCCCTGGACCATCCCCTCTTGTCCCCACAGCCTTCGAGTGCCCTGCCCACAGCCACTACGAGCTCTGTGGCGACTCCTGCCCTGTGAGCTGCCCCAGCCTCTCCGCGCCAGAAGGCTGTGAGTCAACCTGCCGGGAGGGCTGCGTCTGCGATGCCGGCTTTGTGCTCAGTGGCGACACCTGCGTGCCTGTGGGCCAGTGTGGCTGCCTCCACGAGGGCCGCTACTACCCCCTGGGCGAGGCCTTCTACCCAGGCCCTGAGTGCGAGCGGCGCTGTGAGTGTGGGCCGGGCGGCCAAGTCAGCTGCCAGGAGGGCGCAGCCTGCCAACCCTATGAGGAGTGCCGAATAAAGGACGGTGTCCAGGCCTGTCACCCTAAAGGCTGTGGGCACTGTGTGGTCAGTGGGGGCATCCACTACATTACTCTTGATGGACGTGTCTATGATCTGCATGGCTCCTGCTCCTATGTCTTGGCCCGAGTCTGCCACCCACAGCCTGGGGATGAGGACTTTGCCATTGTGCTTGAAAAGAATGCGGCTGGAGATCCCCAGCGTCTGGTGGTTACTGTGGCTGGCCAGGTTGTGGGCCTGGCTCACGGCCTGCAGGTAAGCAGACATGGTCTTGCCCTGGGAATCTGAAAGGGGCCCTGCCTTGGGGGCACTGAGGGGACAGGATCCCACCCTGGGAAGTTTCTGAGACACATGGTTCCCCCTAGGGGTCTAAGGAGGACACTGCCCTACCCCAAAGTGGCCAAGGGGGACACAGCTCCACCCTGGGAGTCTAAGGGGACAGCCTTATCCTGCCTTATCTGTGGTTCTGTGAGTCCCTGACCCACCTGATCTTTCCACCCAGGTCACTGTGGACGGCGAGGCTGTACCCCTGCCTGTGGCTGTGGGCCATGTACAGGTGACTGCTGAGGGCCGCAACATGGTTCTACAGACAGCCAAGGGGCTGCGGCTTCTCTTTGATGGTGAAGCCTACCTCCTCATATCCATCCCCAGCCCCTTCCATGGGCGAACCTGTGGCCTCTGTGGAAACTTCAATGGCAACTGGAGTGACGACTTTGTTCTGCCCAGTGGCACTGTGGCCCCCAGTGTGGATGCCTTTGGAGCTGCATGGCGGGCACCCGGCTCCTCCCAAGGATGTGGCGAAGGTTTTGGGCCCCAGGGCTGGCCTGTGTGCTCCGCAGAGGAGACAGCACCATATGAGAGCATCAAGGCCTGCGGGCAGCTCCGGGACCCCAACGGCCCCTTCGCAGACTGCCACCCGGTGCTGAGCCCCTCTGAGTACTTCCGCCAGTGCGTCTTTGACCTGTGTGCCCATAAGGGCAACAGCTCCTTCCTCTGCCGTAGCCTGGCTGCCTACACAGCGGCCTGCCAGGCAGCCAACAAGGCCGTGAAGCCCTGGAGGACAGACAGCTTCTGCCGTAAGTGCCCGTAGGGTTCCCCAAAGGCCTCCAGACCAGGCTTGAGGATGCCCCCTGATCTGCTTCCAGTCCTGCCTGCATCTTAGGCACAGTCCCTCCCTGTTGAAGGACCTCCACCCTAGCTTCTCCCTCAGCACACCCTACTGGCTTCTCTCTGGCCATCTCGCTGACTGGCCCTTCTCAGACTCCTTCAGGGTCCCGTTCTCCAAAACCTCAGATGCCGTTCTCCTTAGGTCTCACCCTGGACCCTTCCTGTGGTGACCTGGAAGGGTGTGTTGACAGGTCTTTAGCACACACAGCCTGAGTCTGCGACTCACCCAGACCCCACAGTATGGGAACATATCCCCTCACATCCCCCAGGACAAGGCTGCAGCCCTCTCAGATCCCCAGGACTCTACCTCTCAGATGCCCCCAGTGAGGGGGTCTCTGCCTCCTTCAGATCCCCCGGACAGGGCTGTGTCCCCTCCCATCTCTAGGACAAGGCAGTGGGCCCTCATGCCTCTCTGGCAGGGCTGTGTCTCCTTCGTTCTCCTTGGGGAAGGACCCACTTTCAGGGCCATTATCCATCTCCGTGGCCTTAGGTTGGTCTTCAGTGCTGAGCATGGACACTGTCTGTCTCTAGCGCTGACTCTCCTGACTGCTAGCCTCAGGACTCCAGTGGCTTCCCGGACACTTCCTCTTGGGCGTCCTTGGGGTTCTTCGTACCTGCTGTGTTCCCATAAGACATCAGCTTTTCATCCCAAACTTGATCCTCTTATTTCCCAACCCTGGTACTTACCACAGGGCAGCCATACCATCCACCAGTGGCTCAGCCAGAGCCCTGCGCCCCACCCTGAAGGTTTCCCCTGGGTCCTAGCTCTGTTTTTGCCCCATCCTCGCCCTGACCACTCTGCCTATACTTCCCCGATGCAGCTCTGATCTCCCTGGGCCAGCACTGTTTTTCCCTCTGAGGTGATCTCCAGGGCAGGGCCTGGAGCTGTCTTCATCACTTGTGTCCCCAGGGCTCAGTGTGCAGGCATGACCCCACCCTGCCTTCTCTCTCTGCAGCACTCAAGTGCCCTGCCCACAGCCACTACTCCATCTGTACACATTCCTGCCAGGGCTCCTGTGCAGCCCTCTCGGGCCTCACGGGCTGCACTTCCCACTGCTTTGAGGGCTGTGAGTGTGACGATCGCTACCTGCTCTCCCAGGGCGTCTGCGTCCCTGTCCAGCACTGCGGCTGCACCCACGATGGCCGATACTTGCCAGTGAGTAGGGGCTTGAGGTGGGCAGGGAGGGTGGAAGGGCTTGAAGGAGACTCAGAACTTCTGTGCTGACCTACTCAAGGATGGGGACAGAGGAGCCATCCACATTTCCTAGCTGTGACATCTTGTATTAGTTTCCTGTGGCTGTGGTGATAAAATGACCATAAATTTGGTAGCTTAAAACAAGAGAAATTATCCCCCCACAGTTCTGGAGGCCATGAATCAGAAATCAGATCACTGGGTCAAAATCAAGCTGTGCTCAGGGCAGCACCCTCTCCAGAGACGCTAGAAGAGAATCCACTGTTTGCCTCTCCCAGCTTTTGGTGGCTGCAGGCATTCCTTGGTTTATGGTCACATCACTGCAGTTTTTGTTTCTGTGTCATACTCCTCTTCTGTGTGTGAGATAAAAATTCCCTCTGCCTCCCTCTTAGAAGGATATACATGATTGCACTTAAGGCCTATCCAGGTAATCTCTCAATCTTAAATCCTTAATTTAGTCACATCTGCAAATACCCTTTTCCCATATAAGGTAACATTTACTGGTTCCAGTCATTAGGACTTGATATCTTTAGGGGGCTGTATGGTTGTTATTCACCTACTACAGTCCGCTCCCTGAGCCTCATTTTTTTCATCTGTAAAATGGGGTTTATCATCATCCTTGAGCCATCGGTGTCTGAGGATTGGGTGCAGTTTGCACATGAAAGGCACCCACTGAGCACTGGACCTTGCCTTCCACTGCTCAGTAAAATTTACAACAGTGCAGTAGGTAGTACAGCTAAAAACAGTTTAATAATGTAAGTTGAAAGTTAATTTATTTTTGTTATAGGTGATTTATCTTTATTATTTATGTTTTTTTTGAGCTCTTACTCTTGTTACCAGACTGCTTCTGGCAAGGTTTGGGACCTTTTGCATGTCAGGTGACTTCCAGGTTCTTGACTTGTGCAGGAAAAAATTCAAGATAAAGTTCAGGTGAAAGTGAAAGTGAGTTATTAAAGCTTAGGACAGTGAGGCAGGATCAGGAGGTAAACCTGAGATGAGCTGCCACTGCCCACTGCTTTCCTGGTTGTGAGTCTCATCAGAACTCTTAGCAGTGGTTCTCAACCTTGGCTGCGCATTAGAATCACCTGGGAATCTTTTTAAAATCCTGATTTCTGGGCCTCATCCTCCGGAAAGTCTGTTTCTTTGTTACTAATGTTGTGGCCCCATCCCCATAACAAAGAAACAGAATTTCCGGAGGATGAGGCCCAGAAATCAGGATTTTAAAAAGATTCCCAGGTGATTCTAATGTGCAGCCAAGGTTGAGAACCACTGTCTTAGAGTTTAGGATTAAGAAGGCAAAAGGACACACCTGAGGAATGGAGCGCAGGCACGCTCAGAAGAACCGTGCTGGCTGGTGTTCTTTGTCCTGCGGGGTTTTATCTGTTTTCTGTGGGCAGGGATGTTAGGGGAGGTGCTAGGGGAGGATCTCCAGAGTTTTCATTAGATTTCTGGCTGTGTTATTTAGTATGCTGATATTTTTAAATGGGTATATGATGGAGTGTGGCCAGTTTTACCTCTACCTTGAATTAGTCTGGATCTGACTGGGTTTTGTCATCTACCTCCATGACTGTGGTGATTTAAACCATTTGCTCTTAGGCATCTTCAATGAGGGAGGTAGGGTTTTGTGATGTATTAGCTTGCTGTTAATTGCTCAGCCGTTCCGGCCATTTGTTCAACCATTGGTCTCAGTTTCCTCATTCCACTTGCCAGGGAATTTTCCTAATTTCTTACTTACCTACCTCATTACTCTGTGCCAAGTTTGTTACAAATGTTAATTCATTTAATAACCATAAAATCCCATGGGACATTTGAATGATACAGAAATTGCATAGAGAGAAGTCAGCTCCAGGCTACCTATTAGAAAGTGGTGATACTGCGAAGCACAGCCAGCAGCCTGGGCTCCCCCTCTGAACCACTAGGCATCCTACTTCTTCAAAAGCATATTTATTAAATAAAAGAAAGGTGGGTAACCATTCTCATTCATCCCAGTGTTACTAACGGCAAAAAGGTGGGCTAGAGGGTCTGGATGTGCAGGACTTCTGGAGAAAGAGATGCAAACTTATGCTTCTTCCGGTCTCACAGCCAATAGGAAGCCCTCCTGGACCCCCTAGGCCAGGTTAGGTACCTCTGGACTCCCACAGCCCTGTCTGTTTCCACCCCACTCTGCCAATGGTGAAGGGTTTTTTGGATTGGTGCCTCTGGGGTGGAGATACAAATGTGGGAGTCGTCCGTTTAGAGATGGCATTTATTTGTTTTATTTTAAAGTTTTCAAACTTTTGTTTTTAAAGACTTCAAACTAAAGAAAACTTGCAAGAATAGTACAAAGAACTCAACTGTTGCCCTTTTGCCATGTATGCTTTATCATCCTCGCTATATAAATATATATATATATACATTTTTTGAACCATTGAGAATATGTTACAGACACAATGCCCCTTTACCTTTAAGTGCTTTAGCATGGGTTTTCTAAGAATAAGGAAATTTGTTTAATACCACCACAGTACAATTCAAAATCAGGCAATTAACACTGATTCAATACTATTTTTTTTTTAATATATTTTATTGACTTTTCACAGAGAGGAAGGGAGAGAGATAGAGAGTTAGAAACATCGACCAGCTGCCTCCCGCACATCTCCCGCTGGGGATGCGCCCGCAACCCAGGCACATGCCCTTGACCGGAATCGAACCTGGGACCCCTCAGTCCACAGGCCGACGCTCCATCCACTGAGCCAAACCGGTTTCGGCCATAATGTTCTTTATAACAATCACCCACCCCCAGGATCAGGTCCAATTAAGGAGCAGACACTACTTTTAGTTTTCATGAGATTTAAAAAAATATTTATCTTTATTGTTGAAAGTATTACAGATGTCCCCCTTTTTTCCCCATGGACCCTCTCCTCCACCACCTCCCAGGCCTTCACCACACTATTGTCTGTGTCCATGGGTTATGCATATGCATATGAATTCTTTGGTAAATCTCTCCCCACCTGAGATTCGTCAGTCTATTCCATGTTTCTATGTCTGTGGATCTATTTTGTTCATCAGTTTATTTGTTGAGATCACCAGATAGTAAATAAGATAGAAAGGAAAAAAAAGATCTAAGGACTGAACCTTGGGCAAGGAAGCATTTAAGATTTGGGAGGAACTTGAAAATGGGTGAAGAAAGAGCAGTTGGTTACGTAGGGAAAAAACACACAGGAGAAAGTAGTTTCCTAGAACTGGATTTCCAGGGCCCTATGTTCTGGACTGTGGGTGCCAGGACTCTGAGATGTTTCCTGCTCACCCCTACCTGTGTCTGTTAGCTTTTGCTGGGTTACAGACTACCCCAGAACTTAGTGGCTTAAAATAGCTATTTATTTAGTTCACATTTCTGCAACCCTGCAGTTTGGGCTATGCTCACCTGGATGGTTCTGTTGTCCTCTAGGCTCTCTCATGTAACCCTAGTCCCCCCCTAAGTTAGCTTGGAGCTAGTTTAGAGTGTCGTCAGTGGGGATTGTTGTCTCTCTTGCACAGGCTCTCTTGTCCTCTGGCAGACCCAGGCTTGTTTTCACGGTGGCTGGGAAGGAGAGTGGGGGAGAATCTGTAATGTCTTGAGGTCTTGGCATGAAACTGACACAGCACTGTTTCTGCTGCATTGTGAAAACCAAAGCATAGTCTTAAAGCCAACCTGGATCCGTGGGGAAGGGGAAAGAAACTACATTTCTTAGTGGGAGTTGATGCAAAGTGATCTGCATGTGTCCAGAAGGTTGAAGGATTGTGGTCATTGTTGCAATCGACCACACCACGGTAACCTGGCCCCTCTCTGTGCACAGGTGAACTCCTCCCTGCTGAGCCCAGACTGCAGTGAGCGCTGTTCCTGTTCCTCAAGCACTGGCCTGACATGCCAGGCAGCTGGCTGCCCTCTGGGTCGCGTATGCGAAGTCGAAGCTGGGTCCCGGGACTGCTGGGTCCCCCCTGGTCTCTGTTCCCTCTCTGTGGGCACCAACCTCACCACCTTTGATGGAGCCCACAGTACTGTCAGAATCCCTGGCATCTACGAGCTCTCTTCCCGCTGCCCAGGAATACAGAAGACCATCCCCTGGTTCCGTGTGCTCGCTGATGTCCACTCTTGCCATGACAAAGTTGAAGCTGTGGGTCAGGTTCACATCTTCTTCCAGGATGGGCTGGTGACTGTGACCCCAAACAAGGGCGTGTGGGTAAGCCTTGGCACGAGGGCGTGTCTCCCTTGGGCTTTGTCTTCCTGTTGCGGTGTCCCTCCATTCTTGGCTGCCTGTCTATCTTGCTCTCTGTTTTCTTATCTAGATCTCTACAGTTTGGTCTCTGGATTTGGTCTAACCAACTGAGCTACCTGGCCAGGGACATTTACTTGTTTTGATGTTAGTTTTGACTCTTGGTTGCAAAAGACAGAAAATCAAATTCAGATTCCCTTGAGCAAAGTGAATTCATTGGCCCACATAATTAGAAAATCCAGGGAGAGAGCCTCAGGAGAGGCTGGGTCCAGGTGCCCGGGCAGTATTGTCTGGATGTGTATCTTCATCTTTTAGACTTGCTGTTTTCCAAATCATCTTCATTTTCTGTGACTCCTTACAATATCCCCATGACACAGGAACTATGATTATCCTCATTTATACTTTCATGTATAATGAGGGAAACTAGAGCCCGAAAAGGAAAAGTCATTTACTCAAGTCACTCAGAGAATGCCTGGGAGACCCAGGCTTGAACCCACCAGCACCCATGCTCTTAACCACTTTGATGGGAACAGGGCGCTGGTGGTAAGTGTGTAGATACAAGGAACCAAGATGGATTCCAACTACAGTGCTCAGTGGGAATTTCCACTGACACTGTCAATCACAGGCCACATGATCCTTCTGCTTTCTCTTAGGGACCCCTCAGGCCCATTGTTCGCATCAAGAGTCCGTTCCAGCCCCACTGCCCCCTCCATTCTGCCCCTTGACTTCCTGTCACCTACAACTGCCTTTTCTTTGCTAAACCCATGGTTCTCATCACCCCAATTCCAGATTTCTGAGAGAGAGAATCTGTTTGGCTTAACAGGACTAATGCTGACTCATAGTCTCCTCATTTATAGTTCATATATGGTAGAGCCCATGACCCAGGCACAGATGTCAGGTTGCACTAACGTTCCCAGATGAGCACATCTCTGTTTCCACGACCTGTCTATTGATTGCAGAGATGTCCACTGGTGTCTTCTAGGCCCAGTCGGGAGAGAAAGTCCAGGCTGCACACACTCCTCCCCCAGTGGATGGTTTACATCGTGTGTGCGCGTGTGCGTGTGTGTGCGCGCGCGCGCGCGTGTGTGTGTGTGTGTGTGTGTGTGTGTGTGTGTATTTATTTATTTATTTACTCCTCAACTGAGGATATTTTTCCATTGATTTTTAGAGAGAGTGGAAGAGAGAGGTATATTGATGTGAGAGAAACACATTAATTGGTTGCCTGCTGCAAGAGTCCTGACCAGGTCCCGGGCCGGGGAAGAACCTGCAACTGAGGTACATGTCCTTGACCGGAATTGAACCCGGGACCCTTCGGTCTGCAGGTTGACACTCTATCCACTGAGCTAAACTGGCTAGGACTAAATATATTTTTATTGATTTCAGGGAGCAAGGGAAAGGGAGAGAGAGATAGAAACATCAATGATGAAAGAGAATCATTGATTGGCTGCTTCCTGCAACCAAGGGTTAGAGCCCGCAACCTGGCATGTGTCCTGACCAAGAATCAAACCGTGACCCCCTCATTCATATGTTGACACTCAACCATGGAGCCACACTGGCCAGGCAGGAGTTCTCTCGTTAGTGTACTCTGGACCAATCAGTCCTTTTCTCTGGCCATCTGCTTGATTCATAATTCAGGTTAACAGACACCTCCTCTTTCAAGAAACGATTCTCTACACAGCCAGTAGATCCATTCTAAAATTATAAAATGGCCAGAGCCGGCTTGGCTCAGTGGATGGAGCGTCGGCCTGCGGACTGAAGGGGCCCAGGTTCGATTCCGGTCAAGGGCATGTACCTGGGTTGCAGGCACATCCCCAGTGGGAGGTGTGCAGGAGGCAGCTGATCGATGTCTCTCTCTCGTCGATGTTTCTAACTCTCTGTCTCTCTCCCTTCCTCTCTGTGGAAAATCAATAAAATATATTTTAAAAAAATAAAAATAAAATTATAAAATGGATCAGGTCATTCTGCTCTTTAGAACTCTGCAGTGGCTTTCCCAGAACAGCGTTCCAAATTCAAGCCACCTCCCTTCCATGCCCTACAAGTCCTTGAGAGAACAACTCCTGGCCTCTCCAGCCTCATTCCCTGCCTCATTATGCTAATAACAGGCCAAACTGGCCGGTATGCTATTTGTATAGAAAGCCAAGCTTGTTCCCACCTCGGGCTTTCTCATTTGCTGTTCCCACTGCAACAGTGCTCTTCTCCCAGAGACTCTAAGAGTTGGCTCCTGCTCGTCCTTCAGGTCTGAGTTCCAGCATTGCTCCTACAGGGAGATCTTTCCTGATAACCTGCAGACACTCTCACTCTTCATCCCAATCTCAATGCTATTACTCTCTTTTATTCCCTTCAAGGCTCTTATCACTATCTGAAGTTATCCATTATTTCTTTGTGTTTGCCGCCTTCCTTCATCACTAGACATGATCCTTAGATGGGCAGGAGTCCTGTCCATCTTGGTCATTACTTTGTCGACAGTACCCACATCAGGGCCTGGAACCTAGGGGGTGCCCAGGAAAAGTTTGGTTTTCTGACTACATTCAGCCCTGTTCCCTCTGCATCAGTCCATGTGCTGGGTAACACAGATGACTCAGACCCAGTCCTTATACTTTTAAAGCTTGAAGCCTGGTTAAACTTTCCATTCACCTCTCCAGCTCTCCTTCGCTGCATCCATCCCTTCTTCTTCTCTCCCTCCTTCTAGCCATCTCTTCTCCCACCTCTTTCCATTTTTCAACTCTCTCTCTTCTTCCCTCCCTCCCTCCCTCCCTCCCTTCCTTCCTTCCTTCCTTCCTTCCTTCCTTCCTTCCTTCCTTCCTTCCTTCCACCTGTCTATTCCTCCATCCATGCATCCATCCATTCATCTATCCATCTTTTCAGATCCATCTACCTATCTTTTCTATCTGTCTACATCTCTCTTCAATCATCTGGCAGAGGAAGACTCAAGATACTAAAACATTTAGAAAAAAAGAACTTTCAAACAAAGTTCTCTAGAGAGTCTAACTTTAGAAGGATTAATTCATCAATGAAAAAAGATAACAGTTATATAAAGGAAAAAAACTCATAAGATTACCAGGTTAACTGAGTCTACAGCCTGTGATAGAGAAACAGTAATTTTCTCATGTGATCATTATGCTTGCTAGGGCATTACTTGGCTTCAGACATCAGCATTGAAGCAAATAAGGCGTGAAGTTACTTTTGTTAGGGAACCACTAACTTACAGGACATGCTCAAGGGTTCTTTCATTTTGAAAACAGGATGACTCTGGGGTTTGATTGATTGTTGGTCTATCTGGTACAAAGTAACCCCTTGTATATATATGCTTATTGATCTGTTGATCCATCTCTGCATTCATCCTCTCTCTAATCTTCTCTCCGTCCATCCAAATCTCCAACTAAATTATGTATCATCTCTCCATCCTTTCAGGTCTTCATCTGTTTCAGCATCTGCTTCTCTGCTTTTGCTCCTTGAACTTGTTATCTTGCTTGGGGTCTTCATCCTGGTAACATCCCAGCTCTTCTGTGGCTCTAGCCTAACTTCTGTGTCTCCCGCCCCCCCCCCCAAAAAAACCCACAGGTGAATGGTCTCCGAGTCCGAGCAGATCTCCCAGCTGAAGTGTTAACATCTGTGTCTGTGAATCGGAATCCGGATGGCTCCATGCTAGTCCAGCAGAAGGCAGGGGTCCGGGTACAGCTGGGCACCAATGGGCAGCTGACCGTGATGGTCAGCCGTGACCACGCTGGGATGCTGTGTGGTGCCTGTGGAAACTTTGATGGGGACCAGACCAATGATGGGCATAACTCCCAGGGAAATACAACAGTGGAGCACTGGAGAGCACCGGACTTCTCCCCATGGTGAGGATGTAGCATGGAAGCCAGTTTACTTGGGGCCAGGGCACCTCGATCCTCATGGGAAGGAAGCAGTTGGGTGGGTGCTCAGTCTGTAAGAGCAAGTGCTAAGTGTCTGTGTCTCTTGCAGTCGTGACTGACCAGTTATCCACTGGAAATGAGGACTTCAGGACCTGATCCCTCTGGAGGCTGCAATAATTCAAGGATGCACTGTATCACTGTGTATTCCTTCCCTGCTGAGCCGCTAAGGCTGATTTTGAGAGCATTGAATAAATATCTTAAGCTAAGCTGCATGCCATGTGTCTTTTTAACTATATACATATATATTTTGTTGATTTCAGGGAGGAAGGGAGGGTGAGAGAGAGAGAAATATCAATGATGAGAATCATCAGTCAGCTGCCTCCTGCACACCCCCCATTGGGGATGGAGCCCACAACCCAGGCATGTGCCCATAACCTCCTGGTTCATAAGTAGATGCTCAACCACTGAGCCACACTGGATGGGCACCCATGTGTTTTATTCCTGACTTCCTGCCTGCATAGTAGGGTCAGATGCTTGGGGAATCTGGCGCATGATGAATGTTTATTGGTGGGTGAAAGGATGGATGGATGGATGGGTGACGACATAGGTGGGTGGATTGGGAGAGGGATGGATGAGGGAATGAGGAGATGGGGAAATGTATTAGAAGAATGGGTGGATAAAAAGATGTATGATTGGATGGAGGGCAGGAGTAGAAAATAGAATAGGTCTAGCTTTACCATTTCTTTTTTATTAAATATATTTTTATTGATTTCAGAGAGGGAGAGAGAGGAGACATCAATGAGGAGAATCAGTGATAGGCTGCCTCCTGCACACCCCACAATGGGGATCGAGCCTTGCAACTCGGGCATGTGCCCTGACCAGGAATCGAACCAGGACCACTTGGTTCATAGGTCGACCCTCAACCACTGAGCCATGCCAGCCTGGCAGCTTTATCATTTCTAACCCTAGCAAGTTAATTTCTCTGTCACTTAGTTTTCTCATGTGTCTTAGTCCATTCAGGCTGCTGTAACAAAATACCATACAATAGGGCAGGGGGTTATAAACAAATTTATTTCAGGCTCTGGAGGCTGAAAAGTCCAAGATCAAGGCACCAGCAGAGTCAGTTCTGTTGAAAGCTTGCTTCCTGTTTCATAGATGGCTGTCTTCTTGTGTGTGTTCACATGGCAGAAGGACAAGGGAATTATCTGGGGCCTCTTATAAAGGCACTAATGTCATTCATAAAGGTGCCACCCTAATTGTAACTGGACAATCAATGGGTCCGTGTTGCCTGTCACTACTTGAGCCAATTAAGCAGAGACAGGGGTTGAATCACATATGAGCGCTTATTCCAATACTGCCGGCAGCATGGGAGAGCAGCAGTTCATCCACAAAAATCTGCTCTGCAGCCCTCCCTCCCCCATAAGCCAGCTGCTTATATAGGGTAAGACAAAGATTACACGGGGAAGTAGGGATTACAGGCATGAGGAAGTAGGAGACTGGGGTGAGGGGGACTCCATCGTTTGGGCAACAAGGTTGTTAACCTTTCTATGATAATAGGCAGTTCTTGAATGGAATGATTTCAAGGTTGATTCCCAGGTCCAAGGCTGGCTCCCAGGCCCTGGGGGCATACAACTCCCAGCCAGGTCAGAATGTCCTTACTTTAACCAACACAAGGCAATTATGGTTAACAGAACATGATTAATATTTTCCACAACCATAGCTAGTCCCCAATATTCTATTTTGCCCCTAACATAATGACCCAATCCTCTCCCAAAGGCCTCATTTCCAAATACCATCTCATTGGGGATTAGGTTCCAACATAAGAATTTTGAATTGTTCCCAGTGGATATTGTTTCTGTGTCCTCTCAGTGGACAGAAGTAGGAAATACATACACACATAAATACAAGTCCAGGAGTTCTTGCTGATACCTCCAGTTCCAGTCCAAAACCGCAGCGTTCTGGCTTTCCCAATTTCATATCTGTATCTCCTACAACAGTGAGAAACCTGGGCTCTCAACATATTTCATCTTTTACTCAATCCTCCAATATACAGAGACTATTTCAGAACTGCCAATCCATGCCACTGTAAAAAACAAGCCTGTTAGGTAGAGTTCTGTATTTGTTTGTAATTCTTTTCATCTTTAGACTAAGGGTATATATCAAAGTTCTGTGTTAAAAAGTTACTTGAGTTAGTACTTTCCCCCTTCAATGGGGTTTGTTATTCGTTTGGAATATAATTTGGTAATTTATAAATAGAGCTATTTTATTCAATATTTTTTGTTTTAACCTATGAAAATATGTAACTAAATTTTTTTAAAAAAGAATTTTGAGGGGACAGAAACTGTCAGTCAATAGCATTATATTTAAAGTAGTATTTATCATCCAGAGTTGGAATGAGGATTTAATGTGTTTACCCAATCCACAAGGAAAAAATTGAAGTCTCTCTTCCTTCCCAAACGTGTCCCCACCTTCCTTATGGATAACCTTCCCCTCCTCAGTGAGTAGCACAACTCAGTCTGGCAGCCAGAAAATGGGAACTTATTCTTGCTTTCTCCCTTCCCTTTGCCCTCCACTCAGTTCATCAACATATCCACTTAGATTATATCAAAACATACCTGATTATATCAAAACAAATCTGCCAGCCTTTCTTCTTTTTTAAAAAAAAATATATTTTTATTGATTTCAGAGAGGAAGGGAGAGGGAGAGAGAAACATCAATGAAAGAGAATCATCGATTAGCTGCCCCCTGAACAACCCCTACTGGGGATCAAGCCCACCACCGGGGCATGTGCTCTTGACCATAATCGAATCTGGGACCCTTCAGTCCGCAGGCCACACTCTAGCCACTGAGCCAAACCAGCTAGGGTTGCCTGCCTTTCTTATCATGCCCACTGTCACCACCTGGTGCACTTGGAGGAAAGATTTGCAACATACCTAATAAAGGATTAATATCTACAATATGCAAATTAATAAGAAAAAGACAGTGGTTGAGTATATGAACAAGCAAGTGACAGAAAAAGAAACCTAAATATGTTGTATGCATTTAATATGTCAGGTTATTCTGAGCTTCACAATAATCCTACAAAATGAGTACAGATATAAAGAAATAGGCTTAAAAAAAGAAAGAAAGAAAAGAAATAGGCTTAGTGAGGTTAAATAACTTGCCCCAGGGTAAACAGTTGATAATGATGGAGCCTGGATTGAGTGTGTCACCAATGCCAGTCCTTTCCACTGACTCTGGCTGTTGAGTCTCGCCTAGATTCAATTTCCTTTCAAGAAAAAAAAAAATTAAGAGGTCCTAAAAATAAAGAAGAATAAGCAGCAATCCAATAGAAAAGTAGGCAAAGATCTGAACAGTTCATAGAAAAAGAAATACAAATGCTCCTTAAAGATTAAAAAATGCTTGTTTCTGTCCATAGTAAGAGAAATGCAAATTAAATGACCCAAAGACACCACCTCTCACCTCTCAGATAGGCAAAAATACAAAAACTCAACATTATATTTACCGAGAAACATATGAGGAAAAGAATACTATCATGTTACCAATAGAAATAATGCAGCAAAATGTGGCAGTATCTAGCAAAATGACAAATGCATTTTTCTCTTGACCCAGCACTCTTACCACTAGGAATCTAACCCAAAAATACAATGGCAATAAAAGGCTGTAAGCCAAAGGTTGTTCACTGCATTGCTCTTTATAATGGAAAAAGACTGAAACAACTCAGATGTCCATCGTAGGGGACTGGTTGGTTAAATTACACTCCATCTACATGATGGACAACTATGCAGATAAATGAAAACCATAAACGATCTCTAAACACTGTTCTGGCATTATCTCCAAGATATGTTGTGAGGTGAAGAAAGCAAAGTTAGAACAGTGTACATAATAAAAGAGACCTAAGAGAAGGACCAAGGGGCTGGAGTACCGGTACTGTCCTATTTGTTGACCAGGGAGATGATTATGTGAGTTATTGCCTTTGCAATGACTCTTAAAGCTGCACAGTTGCATGCATCTCTCTGTAAGCATGTAGTACCTCAAGCAGTTTTAAAATCAATAAATTTTAATCTCAATTATAATCTCTGAGGATTCTTGGCCAAAGAAATGGAGAGAGAGAGAGAGAGAGAGAGAGAGAGAGAGAGAGAGAAAGGACAAAGAATGCAAATGATGGGTAGTTAGGAACCTGATTTGAACAAGCAGCAATTTTTTAAAATCATATTTTTAGACCATTGAGGAAATAGGAATGTAGACGTCACCCGATTATTAAAAGAATTTCTTAAAAAAAAAAGAATTTCTTGTTAATTTTTTTAAGTGTGATAATGTAAGAAAATGTGTTTTTTTTTTTAAAGAGATGCATAGTTAAGTATATGGGGTAAACAGGCATCATATTGGGATTTGCTTTAAAATACTCTAGCCAAAAATAAAAAAGATGGTGCAATAGATAAGGCTGACAAAGTGTTGATAATTGTTAGGGTTGTGTGATATGTAAGTGGAGGTTTCTTGTATTCTCTACTTTTGTGTAGGATTTAAAATTTTGTTTAAAATATTTTTTAAAAATATTTTTGTTGATTTCATAGAGGAGGGGAGAGGGAGAGAGAGATAGAAACATCAATGATGAGAGAGAATCACTGATCAGCTGTCTCCTGCACGCCCCCCACTGGGGATCGAGCCTGCAACCCTGGTATATGCCCTGACCCGGAATCAAACCATGACCTCCTTGCCGAAACCGGTTTGGCTCAGTACTGAACCATACCAGCCAGGCTAAGCAGCAATCTTGGTGTCGTACAGGGCTGCAGTCATCTGAGGCTTAACTAGGGCTGAATGATTTGATTTCCAAACTCACTCCCAGGGAAGTGCTGGTGGAGCTAAAATATCATAAAACCCTAATACGCAAATCGACTGAACGGTCACTATGATGCGCACTGATCACCAAGGGGCAGATGCTCAATGCAGGAGCTGCCCCCTGGTGGTCAGTGCACTCCCACAGGGGGAGCACCGCTCAGCCAGAAGCCTGGCTCATTGGCCAGCGCAGTGGTGGCAGGAGCCTCTCCTGCCTCTGCTGAAGTGCTAGGAGCACCAAGCAGGCGGGCGGTAAGGAGCGAGGGGTCCCAGACTATGAGAGGGATCCTGAATTGCGAGAGGGTGTAGGCCAGGCTAAGGAACATCCCGCCCCCCTCCCTGCACCTCCCACCTCCAGCCCAGTACACGGATATCATGGACCAGGCCTCTAGTGTGTGTGTGTGTGTGTGTGTGTGTGTGTGTGTGTAAT